ATATATATATATTTAATATATATATATATTAATATAATTTAATATATATATATATTATATATATTATATATATTTAATAAAGTAATAAAAAGTCAATAGAAATTTCAGTTTCATCAAGGAAGAGATTGGATCAATAATAATCATTTGCATGTATTTGTGAATTATTCTACATGTCACAATAAACTAATAAAGATTAAATGGAAATTTCTTTCCAAGAAAGAGGTTGGATCAATAATAATCATTTGCATGTATTTGTGAATTATTCTACATGTCACAATAAAGTAATAAAGAGTAAATGGAGATTTCTTTCAAGGAAGAGGTTGGATGTGGATCAACTCGTGTCCTTGATCGTAGAATCGAATATGTAACCATGACTTTTCTTTTTTTTTTTTTTTTTCCCCCCCATTCCTTTCGACGAAACCTAGGTAATATTTCACAGAGCATACGTGGAAACGGATTACCCTTGAAGCCGTACTTTGATTTCAAAGCTACGTATACGCGGTTACAGTGTAAAGTATTATAAGAGCGCGTTCTAATTTCGATCTTGTTCCGAGAAACTCGGGTTCTCGTTAAAATGCAAGTGGACTAATAAGATGTACCGGTGTCTCGTTGCTCTCTTTGGATTTTTTTTATCATACGAGCTACAGATTGATATATATTCAACGAATAAGGTCTAGAAATACGTTGGTTCACGGTTACCCAACCTAACTTAAACCTAATCCAACCTGTGAATTTTTAGGAGATGTAGATGAAAATACAAATTGGCAAAATTCTTGTTCTCTTTCTTGAATATATTGAAAGCGAAAATGAAAAAGAAACAACGTGGAAGAAAAGTTAAGTAAGGTTAAGGAAAGAACGATAAAACTAAAAAAATTTTTAATTTTTATTCCTTTCAATTCGAAACAGTTATGGCGAAGAGTACGAAGAGTGGACACCACAGGGACGCTTCGTTAATCTCCCGTATACTCGGCAGAGAGCGCTCGAGGCAGCAATCCGAGATATTTAATGAACGCCGTGCAACCTGCTTCGGCACGCGGGAAACTTTTTACAGTGCTCGAAACAAAAATCCTTGTCCAACGAAGAAAAAGCTTCTCGACCGCCTGTTCGTAGGCGCAGTTCCGCGTATGATAGATACCTTACAGATATCCGTGACATGATCTGCGCTCGGTGTGGCGGTACACGAATCCCGAACAAGAATATTAATTGTACTTGCCAAGGGAGCGAGGGAAGAAGAGCTCCACGCTGAGAGAGAGAGAGAGAGAGAAAGAAAGACGACCAACTGGACTCTCGACACGGACCCACGTGATCGAGCGTGTGTGCGCGCGCACATACACTATCTCGCTAGACGTAATCTCAAAGAGTTAGGTTAGCTGTTGCCACACGAGTGCAAGAGGGCAAAACGAGAATATTTCAGAGTGGTG